GGGAGGGTCACTCCGCTTCAAGGTGCCCGAGTCAACGCTGATGGACTGCCAGCGACGTGAGTGCTCGGGGCGAGGCCTGGCGCGTGGCACTACCCAAGAGCGAAGGGATTCTAGACGAAGACTCCTTTAAAAATGCACAGTCACTTCATGGTGTCGGTGCCGATAATTAAAGTAGTGTCGATAGGTAGGTTTAGATACGTCACCCAGCTTGATCGATCTCGAGGAAAAGGTGTCATTGCTCAACTATCAGGGCAGTGTTAATGGGGGAAGCCATCCACTTGATTCTCAGTTACCTAATCAGAGAAAACCACACCAGAATAAAGGCTAGAAGAGAAAGGTGTTCACAGTGAGGGGATGTTCTGTGTTGGTGTCATCCCATAGAGTGCCTGCGTTTGGCTGACAGGCTTCTAAAATATATCTAATGCGACTAGGAAAAAAAGTGTTTTTTGTTTTTGTTTTTAATTACCTTAATTTAAATGTGTGGAGCTGGGTGTCTGGTGACCATTCTGTCAGATATTACATATTTGGAAACGTACTTCAGTGTTCCCTAGGAAATTTCTAAATTATACGGTATTTGAATTAGATATTTTAAACTTTTGAGTTTCTAGGGCCTCCTCAGGGAATTGAAATCAAATAATAGATGTGAAATGTTTTTGTTCAGTTTGGTCTTGTTTTCCTGTTGCTGTTTCTAACTTCAGGAAAACACGTGAAGGTATCTTGGTGCTACGATGATTTCTGGGAAGCAGGCTGATTGGCGAAATTTTGTCTTGCTCTCTCAGCACCTAACATTTTTATTTCAAAAGAAAGCTCCCAGATAGATTAAGAAAATCTATCTCAAGGGCCCTCCCTGGTGGCGCAGCGGGTTAAAGCACAGCACTGATAATCTGAAGCCGCTTTCACATGAGTTTGATTCCTGCCTGCCCCGGAGGTGACCACATGGCGAGCCAGACCTCTCCTGACCGCCCGCTGCTCTCCTCAGCAGTGTACCTTGTCGATCTGCCTGTTCTGCTCCCCACTCTGTCTCTGGTGAAGCCTCTCACCGCCCCTGAGCTTCTGGCCTGTACCCCAGCTCTTATAAGCATAAATAAATAAATCTTTAAAAAAAAAAGAAAATCTATCTCGAATTTAGAATTCATCAGAATATTTTTTTCTCTCATTCATTTATTCATTCAGTATTTTAGTTGACCTTGAACAGTAAAAATCAAGAAGTAATTTAAAAGGTGTTGGACGAGATAAAGTATTAGCCTCCATATAGAATAGTATGTGGATTATAAATTTATAGCTATTTACATTTTAATATAAATATGTAAATATGTTGTATGTAACACATACATGCTTTGTATATAAATATAAAATGTGCTTCATGTATTTGCAGGGATTTAAATAGTGGCGTTTAAACTGTGTTTCCAGTAGCAATGATGAATTTACAGAGCCTGGTCCCTGTTCAGGGTGAGGGTCCCAGGCAGTAGGTCCATGGTGTCTCCTGGTAAATCCAAACTATTTGGCTTCTGAGAAGCATAAACATAACCTTTAAAAAGTAAACAAAGGGAAGCTTTTGCTTGTTATTCATACCTCTGCAGATTGTATCACTTAATGAAACTCTTGGCTAGCTAGGTATTTTATTATATTCTGATAGTAGAACAGGATCTATTGTTGGTCTAGAAATTAGATAAAAATCTTAACTTTGACGTCGAATTGAATTTTTAAAATTTTAATAATACAGATCATGGTTTGTGGATTCAGCAAATAATTGAATACATTTTGCAGTTTATACATGCTGAGTATTTTGTTCTCTCTAGAACTGAAAGACAGCAAGCAAATTTTATCAATTACAAAGAACTTCAAGGTCGAGAATATTGGACCACTCCCGCTAACGGTGACATCCCTGAGAATTAATGGATATAATTGCCAAGGTTATGGATTCGAAGTGCTAGACTGTCATCCGTTTTCCCTCGACCCAAACACTTCCCGGGATATCAGCATTGTGTAAGCATCAGGTTTAAACCGCATTGAAATGTTGTGGTGCAATTAATATAGTACGAAGGGAGAGAACCTTTTCCATTGTTCAGACAGCTTTAGTTTAGCTCATAGAAGGAAGAAATGTTGCTGCTATTATGATTGTGTTTGTGCTTAAAACAATTGGGCCCTCTCTGGTGGCGCAGCAGGTTGGCAGCACACTAAGCCAAGAGTGGCCGCTTCAGTGAGAGTTTGATCCCTGCCCCGGAGGTGACCCACATGGCACACAGACCTCTCCTGACCCACCCGCTGCTCCCCTCAGCAGTGTACTTTGTCCATCTGCCTGTTCTGCTCCCCGCTCTGTCTCTGGTGAATCCTCTCACCGCCCCTACGCTTCTGGCCTGTACCCCAGTTCTGTATGCACAAATAAAAAAAAATTTAAAACAACAAAACAACAACAATTAAGTTTCACGAAGGTGAATCTTTCGTCAGGTTTACTCCAGACTTCACCTCTTCCTGGGTCATCCGGGAGCTGACCCTGGTCACTGCGGCTGACCTGGAGTTCCGCTTCACTCTCAACGTGACCCTCCCTCACCACCTGCTGCCCCTGTGTGCGGATGTGGTTCCTGGTCCCACCTGGGAGGAGTCGTTTTGGAGGCTCACGGTCTTCTTTGTCAGGTACACTCCCCCACCTTCTCGACTCTTCCCGCCCTGGGGGGAGAAGCCAAGTAATGTGTCAGTATCGCCACTGCCTGTGAATTAAACAGAACTTAGATGTCGTTGAGGACCTGGCATGCACGAAGTGGAGCGAGGGGTAGATGGCAAACGTGAGGACAGCCGCGGACTAATTGTAGGAGATTCTCGGGACCTGGAGGTGCAGATCGGTGGGGTTTTAATGCGGAAGGAGGTGTGCACACCACTCTTAGGGGCTCAGTGTACTGGCGATTTGACAGGAGACTAGAGCACCTCGTTCAGAGTGGGGGTCCCCCTGGAAGTGTCTTTAAAATTGGAATTGGAATGCCAGACTCAGAAATGCACCCATCTTAGAAGCTTAGATTTTTTAAAGTCTGTAAGAAGCACCAGCAGTGACAATGACGTGTATGTAGCTTCTAGGATTTTGAGGCCGCATCTTTGGCTGTTCCCGTCAGCCATTGCCTGCTCTTCTGTCAGAGTCAGGCTGTCTGACGTCAGTCTGAGGCAGGCAGGAGTGACCTTGTTGCTTTCTTCCGCAGTTTGTCCCTGTTCGGTGTGATTGTAATAGCCTTCCAGCAAGCACAGTATATTCTTATGGAATTCATGAAGGCGCGGCAGAGGCAAAATGCCAGCCCCTCTTCACAGCCAAGCAGTAGTCCCCTGGACGTCATGAGCCCCCATTCTCACAAGTAAGAATTCTTGCTCTGTGTGTGTGCGTGTGTGCCACGTCAGGACCTAGTGTGCAAACACGTGGAAACGTCCAGGCCTCCCTGGTGGCCTCGGGATTAAGTCTCAGCGCTCTCACAGCTGTCACTGCTGTAGCCTGAGTTCGATCCCCGGCCAGGGAGCTGACCCACAGGGCGCGGCAGACCTCTCCTGTCTCACCCGCTGCTCCCCTCAGCAGTGGATTTCAGTCAATCCACCTGTGCTGCTCCCCACTCTGTCTCTGGTGAGTCCTCTCAACCCCACAAATCAGATAACACGTAAAATAAAAAAGAAGGAAACGTACTCCACCTTCATACACACAGGACTGATCACAGCCTCTTTCTCAACAGTGTGGTAGAGTATGACTTGCTTTGCCTTTATATAGTAAATGTTTTTCCTTCTTGAATTCAGAAGCAATTGCAAGAACTTTCTTGACACCTACAGCCCGCCTGATAAAGGCAGAGGGAAAAGCTGCCTTCCGGTGAACACCCCACAGAGCAGGATCCAGAATGCCGCCAAGAGGAGCCCAGCCACCTACGGGCACCCCCAGAAGAAACACAAGTGCTCGGTCTACTACAGTAAGCACAAGAGCAGCACGTCCGTCCCCAGCGGCGCCCCCGCCACGGCTGAGGAGAAGCAGACCTTGGTGCTGGGTGGCCCGCTGGCTGCCACTAAAGGGGACATGGGCGCCGAGGTGACCGGGGAGAGCTGGGTGGACTTCAGATACGCCAGTGGCCTCGACATCAACCTGCAGAAGGACCTCGCCCTTCCCAAAAACTTACTGAGTAAAGAAGAAAACACCCTGAAAGCCGCCGTTGCTGTCAGTAGTACTTCTTCAGAATGCCACATGAAGGAGGGAATACAGACATGTATGTTTCCTAAGGAAACGGACCTTAAACATTCAGAAAACACAGCAGAGCTCAAGGGAGAGCTCTCTCCTCTGAAGACCCCTAAGAAAATACCTGAAAACCATTCGCCCAGAAATTCACCTCCATTCCAGTCAGACTTGCCAGAAATTTCCAGGAAGAATAACGGTAATCATTTCTTCCCTCCTCCTTGATGATGTTTGCCTCCGGTCTGTTTAGAGGGACTCGTCGGCACGCCCGGCTCTGGTGCTGGTGTGCAAGCACCTCTGGGGTGACGCGGCGTGACTGTGGCCAAGGGATGATGTTGAAATAGAGGTTTCCGTGATGAAAGTTCAGGACAAGGCGCCGCCTTTTAGAATGTCGTCATAGCTGAGTTGACATCTTGTGAGCGTTGGCGTTAGAGAGGGGGTGACTGTCATTTTATTGTCAGGCGGCTGTGGCTCCCTAGTCTTCATTAGTTTTGATCGTGGCTTTCCAGACTCTTTGCAAAAATGAATCAGCCCAGGAAATGTTTCCAACTAAACCACCCGACCAGTTTCTATATTTAACAGCGGCCACCAGCGCGTGTTCCCGGGCCCTGGTGCTTCTCTAGTTGTGTGTCCTGTCGTTAAACGAAGACAGCTGTTCTCATGTAAATGATGAAATTGCATGAAAATTAATTCTATGCCAGCACTTAATGAAAACGCCAGCAAAACTAGACCAGGAGGGCTCCCCACAAATAAAATTGTCACGCAGCCTTACCTGTTCCCTTTGGCCTCTGGCGTAAGAGCCTGTGAGAATTGTTGCTCATTCTGAACACTTTGATTTCTGTACTGGGAAGAGTCATACCATGGAGGTCTTTCAAGCGAAAAGTCAGTTACCGCTGATCTTCCTTGAAGCATCCAAACATAACTTTGTTTCTCACTCCATGACATTGTAGGGAAGATACAGAAAGGTTAGGGGTTGACCAATTCCAGTGAAGCCTTTATATTTAGGAGAATCCCCAGATTGACTTTCGGCATGTTCTGTAATAGGGCATTCCCAGTTTTGAAGACAGGTGGCCCCTGGCTGGGGCATGCACCCACCTTCCTGCTGTGTCTGAGCTGCTCACGCCAGCTCCGTGGCGGGCGTGGTCTCCTGTCGCAGGACCAAACCCCGCCCGTGTCCTCTGCACAATGCATCCAGCCACGTGTTCAGAGGACATCAGAGCTGAGCCTGCCCTGCGGTGTTGGGTGGGGAGAAAAGTGGGGACCTCGCGTTTCTTTTCTGTTCCCCAGGACTCGCTAAGACCCAGCCTGCAAGACACCCAAGAAGGGCGTGAGTCCTGTAGGCGCTTCCTTGCTTTGTATGTCAGTGCGGCCCGAGCAGTGTTTGCCAGAGGCTGAAGTGACACAAGCTTATTTCCATTTGTGGGGACATGTCCTTGTCGAGGGACTTCCTGGCGGTCCCTGGCGTCCATCCTATTATGTTTGAATAAACGTGCCCGGCCTGCGCACTGTGGGGGTGCCTTGGCCACATCCTGGTACCTGCAAGTAGTTAAAGTAGAGGCGTGGGCCCAAAGTGCAGCATCAGAGGGTGTGAATTTGTGTTTCGGGAGCTTCTCCTGGTCCTATACTTGCCGCTTAGCGCCCTCAGCTCGGCCTGCAGGCCTGGGAAGGGCACGTCAGCGGGTGGCAGCGTAGCTCAGAGCTCTCAGACATGGGTCTTGCTGCACTTCAGCGAAGCCACACCTGCCCTGCCCGTGTCTCCTGCCTGTGCTGATTCCTGGTGTGTTCCTGAGGTGAATGCAAACCGTCTCGCTGCAGGGGCCATTTTCCAGCTGCTTTTGGCTGGGTCAGCAGCCTCTGAATGGCACCAGGCTGGCTTGTCAGACCCAGAGGGAGCTGGTGACAGGGCCTGGCTGTTCCGCCTGGTTCAGAGGGGTGTTCCCGCCCTGCCCTGTGGGTTTCTGTCCAGAATGGCTATGGCGGGAGGGTCCCCACAGGGGCAACCGCTCACTGGCTTGTATTCTTCTGTCCTGTCTTTTGGGTCACAGCACCATTCTAGAAAATAGCAAAGAGGCTAAAGAGTAAACAAACTGCCTGCCATCCAATTTGAAACACTTTAATTGATTTTTTTTTAAAAATAAGAAAGGACTGAGAAATTCAGGGAAGATAATTTGTAGTACGCAGATAGGATTTGGAGTTGTTGTTTTTCCTAAATAACATTAAGAGTCCTGGGTTCCTCTATGCAATTTTAAAGGAAAGCACTATAATAAATTGCCAGGGTGACCCTATGTGAAAAAATGCTCAAAGGAAAAAAAAACCATACAAGTAAGAACCTGCCAGATTTCTCACTCTAACTTTGAGCAGTTCTTTTTTTTTTTTTTTTAAAGCAATTTCCTGCGCAAAAAGCAGCCTCTTTCCAACTGCAGATCCTTTCCAGAATGTGAAGAAAACACACAGCTCCAGTCTGAATCTGCCAGCCTGGGGGCCAGGGTCCCGGGCCCCATCAGGTTGCTCCCTGGGTGACCCAACAGAGTCAGATGCCTCCCTCATGTGTTTGCCACATTCTGGCCATTATCCTCAAGTTGCCTGAATGTTCCATGGAAGCAGGCTAGTGATAAGATTGCCTTTGGGAGAGCGCCGGGGGCGGTGGGGGAGGGCTGTCCTCTAACTGTGCTGGCATGGCTTTCTTACCACGGCTCGAGGGCTGGAGAATCACTGACCACTGCCCGTCCTTTTTTCTTCTTCCTCACACTGCTAGTGGGTCTGGCGCCAGCTCATTGTCCTGCCAAGAAGCACAGAATAATTTCTTAACTACAGGAAACATGTCTCATCCCTGTCCTCTTTTCTTCCTGTATTCCATCATCAGATGGACTGTCCCAGAAATGAAGTCTGTGACAGACTTTTCAGTGGTCTGGTTTCACACTTGTTTCTTGGCGTCAACCTGTCGGGCAACCGTGAAGTGGCTACGTGCTTTCAAGTACTGGCTACGTGTCCATCTCTCCTGACCATCTGACAGGAGTGGAGCTTTGCTCCTAATGTGAACGACCTTTTGCAATACGTCTCTCTCTCTCTTTATCACTATTTATATCTTGCATTTTAGTTTGTGATCAGAATAACGGAGATTCAGAATTATAGCTAAAGACAGATGGTGGCCGGCCTCAGTCCAGAGGAATAGTTAGCAAAATACTCGAGATTCTTCCTTGTTTTTCGCTTACAGTCATGTAAAAGATAATAAACCCACACACTGAATAACAACTGTGCCTTGAAATTAGCATTGTATGGAAGTTTTCACTGAATGAAACAGATCCCTCCAGAATTTTGGACATAACACTATTTGCAGAAAGTTGAAAAATAGCCTCATTACTTACCAATGCTAGTAACTTGAAGATCTAGCAGTTTTAGCAGTTTACTTGAAATAGATGAGTGGATTGGATGCAACAAAACTTTAAGAGGATTCTAGCAAGCTTACTTGTTCCTCAGTGTTTTTTTTTGTTTTTTTTTTTTTAAAGATTTATTTATTTGTGCATACAGAACTGGGGTACAGGCCAGAGGCTCAGGGGCGGTGAGAGGCTTCACCGGAGACAGAGTGGGGAGCAGAACAGTCAGATCGACGAAGTCCACTGCTGAGGGGAGCAGCGGGCGGGTCAGGAGAGGTCTGCCACGCCATGTGGTCACCTCCGGGGCAGGCGGGAATCGAACTCATGCGGAAGCGGCTTTTAGATTCTCAGTGCTGTGCTTTAACCCGCTGCGCCACCAGGGAGGGCCAGTGTTTTGTTTTTTCTTCGTGGCTCAAGCACTGAGCCCTGTAAGAAAAGCAATAGGTTAGCCTGCAGGTAACTGTGCTAAACACAGGGTAATATGGGTCAGTCCCACCTTTAAAGTGAACTCAACACTCAGAGTATTTCTACATCCTTGACTGTTGTCATGTTAAAAGTTCTCAAAGATCCAATAAGAAGCTTGTTATTAGACTCATTTTATCGTTTGCCCTGATTCTTGGCCCCACAGAAGACATGGCTGCATTTCTAGCAGTCTGGGCTTCCCTTCGCTTGTGGAGTGGCCCAGTGTTAGATATTAAATCTAGATCCTTCCTAAGAAAACTTTGATGACTCATACTTCCAGTGCTGTATTCTTGGCCAGAAGAAAACTTATGGAAATACATTTTCTCGTGGATTAAAGACTCCAGGACGAAAGCAGTGACACATTTTTGGAGGAGAGTATCTGTGTCTGTTTCATATCCAGGGCTTCCAGAATCCACAGCGGTATCTTTTTTTCTGACTCCTTTTTCTGTTCCGGACCGTGTGTCTCACACTCTTGGCAGCTTCTTTTGCTCATTCACAGTGTTGGATATTTTCCTGTGAGGACGTCTTACAGCCCACTGGTGTCGCTGAAGGAAATGAGTTTCCAAAGTGTTCTCTGCAGCTAGAATGCTGTTTAGTTTTGACATGTTGAAGGCGGGAGTAGTAGTGATTCTCGCAGGAATGCTCCTAGTTCAGCAATGTACAGATTTGAAGGAGATTTGAAACCACCCTCTGAATAAGGCACTTCTAAGCCATCCAGAGAGATGGCAGACTTTCCCAGGAGGGCAGAAATTCCTGGGATCTCCCTTAATCGCCTTTGATGCTGATACTTTCAAAACTCTACTGATAAAGTTATTTGTAGTTTTTTAAGGAAGCGGTTGATAAGAACAGGTCTGCCCTGGACTCCAGAGCCTTCTTAAGTCTGCCCCAATACCACCAAAGATGAAGTGTTCTTCACCACACCCTGTGATACTTTATTGCATCTAGCCAGGAGATTACTGGTCCATGTTCATCCTGGGGCATTTGGAGCCAAGACCTTGAGTTAGTGTTGGGACAGGGCCGCCTTTCTGAAGGTGCCGCTCTAGCTACGTGGAGTTACAGGGTGCCAGCCTACCTGCCCGCCCAGCCTTGGGTGGCTGTCATTCTGCAATTCCCTGTTCACAAAATAAAGGTGTGCTTAGCTTAGAAGAGTCCTGTTATCATTCTTAAAAGTATGTGTCTTGCTCTGAGTGAGTTTAACTGATAGTTTCAGAATTCCAGAATCAACAGGGGTTTGACGGGCCTTTCCATTGTGTGGGGTACATGGGGTGCGTGTCTGGCCTGCTCAGCCCCCTGCAGTACCCCTGGGAGCCTCCACTGAGCTCTGCTCCAGCTTCATCTCGCCAGCCTGGGCCTGCTGAGCTGTGGGGTGTGCACAGGGGACCCCTGAACTCTCAGCTGGCAGCGATCATAGACAAGGGGGTCGCAGGGAAGAAAGGGAAGAGAGCAATGAATTAGAATTCAGAATCAGTTCTGAATTAGGAGGCTGAGGCCAGTTACTGCAGCTTTATAGTTGTTCTGCTTTTGTCAGGTAAAGGGTAGAAGAAAAACTGAATGAAATCACTGGCAAGAAGCTGGGCAAGTGTCGATGGCCGACGAGGGTTCTCCCAACACCTCTGTACATGGACCAGCTACGGGCCTCATGCTCAGGACCGCCCCGCACCAGCCCCTGTCCTGGGCCCGTTACAGGTCCTTGGGATTCATGGCCCAGATGGTCAGGCAGGGTGGACCGAGAAGTGGAATCTTCATTTCATAAATGAGGAAATTGAAGTTCAGGCAACTGACAGACTTATTTTAATCATACAGTTAACTAGCAGTGTAGTTAACTACAGTTAACTACAGTTAACTAGTCACTAGCAGAACCAAGCCCCTCCCCTCAGTGCCCACCCCAATTCTGGGGGAAAAATACTATGATGAAATATGGATAATGTAAAATTTTCCATTTTTAGGGATAAAACAGTGCCGCTCAGTGCGCTCGCACTGCTGCACCGCCATCCTCCTTCCCAGAACTTTCCATCACCCCGAACAGGAGCTCTGGACCAACAAGCCCCGTCCTGTGTGTTCCACTTGCCGCCTGCTGCCCCCTCGGCTGCCCTGGAGGGCAGTCAGGCCAGTGCAGTGGTGTATGGCCGAGCTTCCTGCGGCTGGCTGATTGCCCTTCATTTAATGTCCGCACGGTTCATCCCATGTTGATGCAGGTAGCAGGATTTCGCACCTTTTTTCCCTCTTGTTTTTGAGTGTACCATTCTGGAGCATCAAATATATTCACATTGTTGTGTGAAGAGCAGTTCCTTAGTGAAAGCTGAGTTGATGGATGTTGCAGGCTACATAGACCACGTTTGGTTCACGTGTCCTGTGTCCGTGGATATGTGGGTTGTCTCTGCCTTCGGGCTCTCAACAGTGACCCGTGGGGCTCCCCTCCAGCCCTTTACTCCTCAACTACACAACTCTTTTAATACAAATGGATTTTCCCATGTAAACAAAACACACTTTGATAGTGCAGCTCTCAGAAACAACCCTTCAGTCTAAATCTGTCTAAATCTAAATCTCATTAAATCTAATGAAATTGTTTGGCATAGGGAAGAGATTAATTCATCTATGGGGGGCCCATGAGTGGAAGTAATTAGCTTGAAATGGAATTCTTTTTATTTATTCAAGGAAATCACCAGCAAGTGCCAGTCAAGAATGAAACAGACAGTTGTGAAAGTTTGAGAAAGAGTGACTCAAAGTCTTCCTCAGAAAAGAAGATTCATAAAGCATCAAAAGAAGACATATGTTCTGAGAAGCAGGACATACCGTCATTAGAGGTCTGTATACTTTTTTTCTTGCCTCTTAAAAGGAACCAACCCATTTTTAGGGCTCATCGTGCACCTACAAAGAAGAGGGTTTCTTGCACTCAGATCTATATCGGTAACTGATGAGTTTGGTTGCCCACTAAGTGTGTCCTAACAGGAGGTGTCACTCTGGAAGCTGGGCGGGCAGGGGAGAGGCCCATGAGTAGAGAGGGACAGAGGAAACGCCAGAAGGACTTCTCAGCACCTGCCTGTACCTGGGAGAGCAGCCATCTTTTCTTACATCACAATTCACAAAAATAATTCCATGGTTTCTTTTTGTTTGTTTTTTTTTTAAGATTTATTTATTTATGCATACAGAACTGGGGTGCCGACCAGAAGTACAGGGGCAGTGAGAGGTTTCACCAGAGACAGAGCAGAGAGCAGAACAGGCGGACTGATGAAGTGCACTGCTGAGGGGAGCAGCGGGCGGGTCAGGAGAGGTCTGCTGAGCCATGTGGGTCAGCTCCGGGGAGGGGATCGAACTCACACTGAAGTGGCTGCAGCCAGCTTACGGTGCTGAGTCCTAACCCCTTGCGCCACGAGGGAGGGCCCGGCAGTCAGTCATTTCTTCTGTGACTGACTCCCGTCCCAGCCTTAAAGCCCTGCTAATGCACTTTCCATTTCACTGTTCATTTGGAGAAAATCATCCCCAATAAACACATTCCCAAGTGCAGTGCTTAATGTTTGTTTTTCTTGTACATTCTTAGGGGCTAACTTTGCAGTTTAGAAAATTGTGTAAGTCTGTCTATAGTGCATGGAGAACATTCCTCTGCAGTTATTGGCAGAGTCGGTTGACGCCCAGATTTCGGAGCCACAGATGAAACTTTAACCCTAGCCCTGTTTATTTTCTTTTAAGTAGATTTTTCTCTCTTAGAAAAGGAATTCATGATTACTATAGAAGCATAAGGCAGGAGGGAGAAAGTGCTATACAAAACACACCCCTTTTTACATGATTCTGTCTTGTTTCTTTTTTATGCAGATTTTTCAAGCTCCGGATCGTTATCATGTGTGTATGTGGCTTTGCTGTAGGGCTAGAGTTCTACACTTTTCTCACAGTAGAAATTGAGTGGGGAGGGTGTGTTCAGTGGATCTGGAACATTCTGGCATTTAATGATGCCCTAATCAAAACCATCTGCCTGCAGCTGGACATTAAAGTCTTTTGCAAGTTTTCAGAAGACCAGCCTTCTGAAGAGGCGGTGAAATGAGCCAGTATTTCTGCTCTTTGTGAGATGTGAGCCCAAGGGCCCGTAGAGGAGGACTCTGAATGAGGGGGTTGTCTCTCTGAGGTTGCAGGAGACATTTGCCTCCTGAAAGATCTGACACCCCTCAGAGAGTAGTTGTTGTTCTTAAGTTCTAGAGTGTCATTGTGGGTGTTCCCTCCACTGACCCACTGACTGTGCTCACTGCAGGTTGGTAGAAGGAAGAGAAAGAATTAGAGATCTGAGCTACTTTAAAATTTAATATGGGCCCCTCTGGTGGCCTGGGGTGAAGTCTTGGCTCTATCACCCCGTGGCCTGAGTTTGATCCCCGGCCAGAGAACTGACCTCCATGGTGCGACACACCTCCCCTGACCCGCTGCTCCCCTCAGCAGTGTGTTCAGTAGATCTGCCCGTTCTGCTCCCCACTCTGTCTCTGGTGACTCCCCTCCACCCCTGCCACCTCTGGCCTACACCCCATTTCTTCTATGTTTAAAAAAAAAAAGACTATAGAAATACAGTTTTTTAGAGTAGACGAATCTCCCATCCCTTGGACGACTTAACAGACCATGCCTAACATTTAACACAGGGAAAAGGCCAAATGAAAATAATCACTACCCATCTGCAGGTAGAAATAACAGGTCTCATTAAAGAGACCACATGCCACACATTGCAGAAGCCTTTCTTAGAAACACTAAGTATGTTCTTGCCTATTTTACTCAGAGATCTTAACGTAGTCTGGAGCATTCTGGACACTTGGCCATTGTCCTGTCCATCTATAGGCAAATAAACACATGTGCCGGTTGTTGGTGTGTGTGGAGCTTTTTCCTGCTTTTCCTTGTGTTATCGTCCTCGTGGGGCCCAGAAGCCCTCGGGGGGCTTTGTTCCTCCGACCACACGTTGGCCGCAGATGGTTTTCCTTTTCAGCTCCTTTAGGGTTTTACGGGCGCCCCCGGTTTTGTGTGTCCTTTTCTTTGTGTGAATTTGACGGAAGTAGAGCAGGAACGGAAGTGACAACACGTTGGGGCTGAGAAATGTAGGTTGGGCGTCCGGCTGCGGGGTGCCTGCGAGCAGGAGCAGGTTGTCCTCCCAAGGCCAAAACCAGAGACGGGCTCTTTACTCCTACTGAGCTGATCGGAGCCTTTACGAAAAGTGCTTTTTTTCTCTCTAGCAAGAAGATCCTTATAAGAAGAAGAAACTTCAGGAGAAAAAAGAAGGACAGTTACAAACTTTGAATTGGACTAAAAATCGAACTTGTAGGAAAAACAAGAAAAGAGGCGTGGCTCAGGCCCTAAGGTGAGTGGCTGCTGGGTGGCTGCTCGGCGCCCGGCCAGCGCTGGCCTCGTGCTGAGATTTCACAACCAGCCGGTGGCTTTCAGTCTTCCGTTATGGCACATCCCCCAGATCACGTGAGTGGAGATGCTTATATTTTGAGATAAGAGCCTGATCTTAAACGAACATGTTCCGTAATGGTTTTAAGGATGTCAGAAATGCCTCCAAGGGAAGCCATTTTTAAAGTTTCACGGTAGAATGTTGCAGTGTGCAGGATGCTGAGGAGGTTTAGAGGCTCCACACGCAGGGGCTTTCGCTTCCCCTGGGAGGTCCTGGGCCATTCATCTGTGCAGCAGTTTCTGCAGGAAACCCTGGACTGCAGGCACAGACCCTCCCCAGGTGGGCTCCTGGGCTCCTAAGGACAGTCGCCCATCATGGAACCTGGGCCCAGCCCTGCAGGAGGGCTGCCCTCAGGGCTGCGGGGGACTAAGTGGTCTCCGAGTTCCTTCCAGCTCTGAGAGGGCGACAGCCTCATTGGTACAGCCCTCCCTCCATCCTCATAGTGTCCCCGCCCCCCGCGAGAGAAACCTCAAGTTGTTCCAAGGGCCTGTGTATGCTCTGAGAAGTCGCGTGGAAAGCAAATATGTATGCATTCATGCTAAAAGATGGAAATGATTTTCTGGGCTCTTCCAGGCCTTCTGAACAGAGTGAATTGAAGCTTGTAGGCAGCGAATTTGAAAGGTCTGAGCCGAGCGGTGACGTGGCCGTGGGGAACTGGTGTATCCAGGAAGATGCCGGGGAAGCGTGTAAAGCAGACGCTGGCCTGGGAGGCAGCTCCCCTGTGGCACAGGGCGAGGCAGGTACGTGTCTGTGCTGAGCCGCGGGCAGCGCTGCTGGTGGAGTCTTGGTGTCCTCGAGGAAACGACCCTGTGAGAGAGAAGCGGCTTCTCCAGCGCTGTGGCTGGACGGATGACTCGGCTCCCTCAGGCCGGGCGGAGGCTGCCCGGATGAGTGAAGAGGCTAAGAGTCCTCCGAGCCCGGGCACCTTGAGCCACCCTCTCCTGAACTCCAGCCATTCTCCATCCCCCGATGCAGACTGCAGAGAAATAATGGGCATTTGCTCTAGACAGGACTCCCTTGCTGAAAAGGGGTGTAAAGGACGGCCAGGTGAGAACACTGCCACCCCACACCTGCGCCAGGTAGTTCTATCGCATCAGCTGCCGCTGCACCCGAGGACTGTGGGGCGGTGTCCCTGGGAGTGGGAGATGGGGGCTGCCCCCAGGCTAGGCCCGGAAGGGGATAAAGAGCCATTGAAGTGGGGTACAGCGTGGGGCATCATAACTTCCAGCCCACACCTGCTTCCCAGGCACAGCGTGTGGCGTCAGAGCCCGCGAGCCGCCAGGGCCGCTGCTCCCATCCGTTCACTCTTCACTGCCTGGACGCGTGCGCTGCTCTCTGGCCTTGCGGTTCTTCCCACTCACACACTAGGCCCTCTTGATGGAATTCTTTTTTTTTTTTTTTTAAAGTTTTATTTATTTGTGCATACAGAACTGGGGTACAGGCCAGAGGCTCAGGGGCGGTGAGAGGCTTCACCAGAGACAGAGTGGGGAGCAGAACAGGCAGATCGACGAAGTACACTGCTGAGGGGAGCAGCGGGCGGGTCAGGAGAGGTCTGCCTCGCCATGTGGTCACCTCCGGGGCAGGCAGCAGGCGGGAATCGAACTCATGCGGAAGCGGCTTCAGATTCTCAGTGCTGTGCTTTAACCCGCTGCGCCACCAGGGAGGGTCCTTGATGGAATTCTTAATCCGGGAAATTACTACAGATCTCCAGCCCAGTGGAATAGTCTGATTTTCTTAAATAGCGATGTTAGTTCCAGGACTGTTTTTATTTACTTATTTAAATTTTTAAGATCTATTTATTACATCATCCTTCATGTTTGTACAATGTATGATTTCCCTGTGAAATTCCCACCACCAGTGCCCCCGGGCACCATCACCGTGGTCCCTTGTGCTCTTCCCACCCTGTCCTGACCCTTCTCTGCTCTCCCTACCGAATGCCTTTATCTGTGGTTGCCTGATGGTTTTGATTTCTCCTTTATTATAGTTACATTTTTCCCACTGATCCCTTATTTGATTCCTCTACATTCCTCCTATAAGTGAGACCATTCACTATTTTTCTTCTTTCTCATTTACTTCACTGAACATACTCCCTTCCAGCTCCATCCATGTTGCTGCAAAGGGCATGATTTCATCCTTCTTGATTGCTGAGTAATATTCCACCAGAACTGTTTTTAGGTCATCATTGGCATTAGCTGTGCCTAAAACAAGTGCAGTTGCCCCTCCCACAGACTGTAGACATGCCCCCCCCCCCAGCTCCTAACTGTGCTGTCATTAATTCCAGTTCTTTCTTCTCGAGGGAGGGGCCTGGTGCCTTCATCACGCTGTGGCCTCTCTCCTTTCGCTGGAAATGGCGTGGACCTTGACAATGGTTATGGAACCCTGGCTGCTCGGTGAGGGTCAGCGGTCTCTCTCTTCCCACAGAGGGTTTCTACCAGAAGCCGGGGAAGCAGTGTGCGGAGAAGGCCTGCTCGGACTCCAGCTCGGACTGCAGCAGCTCCTCAGGCAGCTCCTCGGGCAGCTCCTCGGGCAGCGTGCGCACCAGCAGGGGCAGCTGGGGCAGTGCCAGCAGCCTCGAAGGGGACAAGAAGCCCGAGGCCGGGCCCCAGCACTGCCCGCCAGCTGGTGAGTCCGGCAGAGCCTGGGGCCACACCAGGACCCTCCTCTGTGCTTGGGGCGCGAGGGACACTGGGCTCCCTGGCTTTCCTCTCCCCTCCTCCCTCCTGTCCCGCCGCCGTCATCTGCATCCACGTGAGTGTCTGTCCTCAAAACAGTGCAGCTGGCGTCCACATTCATTTTCCCACTTTCAATTGTCTGTGTTATTGTTTTTGTTATTATTGTGGTAGAGTTTAAATAACACAAAATTTACTATTTTAACTTTTTTGTTTTTAAGATTTATTTATTTATGTGTACGGAACTGGGGTACAAGCCAGAGGTCTGGGGGTGAGAGGATTCACCAGAGACAATGTGGGGAGCAAGACAGGCCGACTGACGAAGCACACTGCTGAGGGGAGCAGCGGGCGGGTCAGGAGAGGTCTGCCGCGCCATGTGGTCACCTCCGGGGCGGGAATCGAACTCATGCTGAAGTGGCTTTAGTTTCTTAGTGCTTTAACTTGCTGCACCTCCAGGGAGGGCCCTACTGTGATTTTCAACACCAGAAACCTTTAACCTAAAGATCACGAGGCAGCGAGGCTGAGAAATTCACACTGGTGACCCTTGCTGTTGCCAGGCAGGCTGACCCTGCTGCGGTGAGGCCAGGGCGGGCAGGTGTCCTTGGGCCTACTGACATGTGCAGACCTGGGCACACCAGCAGGTGTCTGAGTGAGTCGTGTCTCCTCCCTGAGCTCAACTCTTTCCCCGCCAGTCTCTGGTCCCCATCTCCTGCTGCTTATGTGACAAGAGGGACATTCTCTCAGGAGCCTCTGGGTCCTCTTTGGTCTCCTCACACCCATTGTACTGCAGAGGGTCCTGGTTTAGTAGCCATAAAGCTAGCCAGTGTGCCCACCGACATCAGTGTTTCTGGGGCTTTTCTCATTGTCCACCGGCCTCCCCAGAGTTCTTGTAGACGTCTGGCGACCCCCTAAAACACTACCCCTGAAAGACATTGCGCACTTGCTTGCTCCTCACAGTATGCTTTGTGTGTAAATCAATTTTCTCGGCCCCCCCAAGAAGCAAGCCAGCCCGCCCCATGGGGACCCGGGGGCCTGGGTCAGGGGCGTGGATGGGCTGTCTGCCTGACCCGGGCATGCTTTTCCTGGAAGAGAAGGTGGCTTCCCTGGCTCCAGCAAGTCCATCTCCACCCACCACTGAAGACAGTTTTTCT